TATTATGCACACAACCGATAACAGGAGACTCAGGTTTTCACTTCATCTAGTAGAAGTCCTGAATGCTGTCATGAAACAGATGGCCCACTATTGCAAAAGATGGAGACTTAAAACTTGTAAAAGACAGTTTCCATCTGCTTCCATCCACCATGCAAAGGCCAACAAACAGCTCAGCATGTTCCTGAATGGACACAGGATGATTCACAACCCAAAGTCTGTGTATCTTGGTGTTGCACTGGACAATACTTTGACTTTCAAGGAACACCTTACCAAGACCTCATTGACAGTAAAGACAAGACACAATCTGATCAGCAAACTAGCTGGTTTAATGTGGGGAACCAATCGCTACAATTCTGGACTTGTCTTGTGATATTCTGTAGTAGAGTATTGCTTCCTTGGCGTGGTTCAGCTCTTTACATACAGGACTAGTAGACACTCAGCTCAGTGGAACTGTATGTAAAATAACAAGTACCAGGAGAATGATCAGCCTGGCCTGGCTGGCATTCCTGTCCTATATCTCCCCTCCTGGTGTCAGCAACAAGTTGCCTTGCAGAGTCTGCTGCTTAAAGTACAAAAGATGCCACATCTACCCGTTTAAAGATGTGTTTAATCTAGCAAGCTGAAGCTCAAGGCGTGTTTGGACAATTCCCCTAAAGAACTTCAATTTCACTTCCAAGTATCATACTAGGTGGCGAGAACAAGACTCAGACATAACCAGTGCCTATCTTAAGTCAGTCCTAGTTTTGACTTTCTCTGCCATCTTTGCGTAAAGCTCAATTACTTCAGAGGTGGAGTAATCAGATGTAGGCCACATACTTGCAGGCTGCATCTATCAGCCAGGGCTGCCTGGTTCCCTCATGAACTTGGACAATGCCCTTCCTTCACCTGGTTAAGTCAATTAGACTAACATGCTTGACTTAACTATTTATGAGATGCAATCTCTCTATATATACACATATACACTGAGATAGAGCTCATATACTTTTCCAAGTGAGATTACAACCGTTCTGTATAATTTCAGTTGCTGGCACTTACTCATTTTCACTGATTTTGTAATAGGCCTGAAGCAGTTTTAACTCAGGCTTCCATACATTTGAATCAAAAACTGTAAATGAAACTCAGAGGATGCAAACGAATGGCTTGTCTAAACAGAGTGTTAGTGTGCAACAAGCTGGGGTGTAAATCTACCTCACCACACAATTTTTAGCGTATTTAACCCCACGGCACTCCTGTGAGGTAGGGAATTGCTATCATCCCCAATTTACAGATGGGAAATTGAGTCATACCTGACAAAGGGACTTTTCGAGGATCCCACAGGATGTCTGTGGCCCAGCAAGAATTGAATCCAAATCTCCCATGGCCCAGGCTAGCCTTTTGCTCTGGGGGCATGCTTCTCCCCCACTTACCAGTGTGCAGACTGCCCATTCCATCTCATGGTTGCGCTAGATGAAGAGACTGACCAACTATTGAGGGAGGCACATGGACAGGCAGCCAAGAGATCATTTATATATAACTAGGAAAAAGGCAAGATTCCCAGCTATAAGCAAATGGCTTTCCAACCTGGGTTTACTTTGTCACAGGTACAGGGCAAGCTTTAGACTACTTTTAGTCCCGTCTCAGGTGCACCCTTTAGGTGACAGGTTTGGCTTCTTGCACCTTTTTCAAGGGTGGGGGGCTCCGTGGTCCAACCACTATTAGACTGCGTAATTGGGCCACCATAGCCTCCTTGTTTTTGACTGTGTAAACATGACAGGCTCAACTATACTAGGCACCTGCAAGAAAATGTATCTTAGGGAGACTGTGACAAACGGCTGATTAATGTGGCTCAACAGTTTTGTCAGAACAAATATTGCTTATTCGCCCAAATGTACATAGTAAGCAGTAAAAGGGATAAAACAACACAAGGCCTGTCCCCTTGGTTCTCACCTACAATGTATTCTTTCCTTGCACTTTATCCTTTCCATGTTAGGTAAGTTCCGCTCAGCCTAGCCATTCCAACTCCTGGGCTGGGAGTTGACAGACTACCTCTGCAACATCCTCCAGGCTCCTTGTTAGAAACTCCTCTCCAGCTGCTGCTGCTGCCCATTCAATCCCACTCCATCTCTAAGATGGAGTTTTAAGAGGATTAGTATCCTCTTTGATCCCAATTCCAGCCTGAGAAGAATATACCTTGCGAGTCTAGCTGGAATATCCACCTGCTTGGCACCAAAGTTAATAGCTTCCCCATTGTAGCCACAAGAACCCTTGGTATTTTCTCTGACAGGACCTTTTCATTGGCATTGTTTTGTTTCCTGTTTGTTTCTCGCCAACAGCCTCCTTTGAGTTAACTCCTTGCAGTTGGGCAGAATAATATCAAGCAGCTAAACTGAAGTGCATATGATATTTATAAACAAAAATACAGAATATTCCTTCATTCTTCATGCTGTGCAAAGTGCTGTGAAGTATCAATGCTAATCGACCCTGAGCTCCATTAATGCAGCAATTTAAAAATTATATTTGGATGGGGAAGATTATCTAGGTCTTTATGAATTGTGAAAAGGTACATGGGACGTATGGGAACATTAATAATAATACTTAACTCATACATAGCACTGTTTAACAGTAGATTTCAAAGTGTTTTACAAAATTAAATTATGTATCATTTTACAAATGGGCAAACTGAGGTACAAACAAGTGAGCAGTAGTGTCTACCTTATAAATGAAAGTATTAAAATTATTTTTAAAAAAGGGATAATTTGTTCTGATGGAACATGTCTACACACATAGTTTCTAGGTATTTTTATTACTACCATGAAAATTACTGTAAAAAAAGTGTTAAAAATAAGTTGTTAAGTGTTAATTTGAGATCCATGAAGTTGGATTCATCAGTCTATGAACCATATGGGGTATATTCTGTAGGTAATTTACTACTCATTTTAAAACTTCCCACTCTGATGTTTTTGCTTTCAATATAGGCTCCTCAATTATTCTTGTCTCCCTCTGTCAAAAGCCTGTAAGCTTTGGGAGGGATATAAGAATGCATTAGTTCAGTTTTATATGAGTCTGCATGCTACAGAATATTACTAAAGATTCATTTTTAAAAGCATTACTTTGTTTCTTAATAAGAACATTTGATTTGTTAAACTACTTTAATCAGGAATGGTTTAGTTGCATTTATCTGGGATAATGTAGCAAATCTGACATTTATTTGTTTCTGTAACATGAGTAATGTTAATTTTATTAAGATTTCCAGCATGCTCAAATATTAGAACTAAGCTCTGTTTTATTGCAAATGCCTGTGTTTAGATATGCTTAGTGAAATGTTTTTCTACTCCTTGAAGATACAGTGCTTGCTTAGTGTGACTTGTAATGAAATTCAGGCAATCTCTAGCACTCTATTGTAATTCTCTGTTTTACATGTAAATTATATTTTGAATCACTATCTTTCCTCAATAGTGATTAAGCCTTCAAATAATGAAAAAGAGGTTAGTTTGTTTGTTTTTAATGATTCATTCCTCCTTTGGGAAAGACAAACTATGTACACTGTTATAGAATTTAGCAATTTGGAATGGATTGTTGAGTTACCCATAGCTAACTGTTTCTCTTTTTTTTAAAAAAAGTGCTGGCCAGGTTACACTTCACTCTAAGATAGGTGGATATAGATATGTCTTATTATTTAAATAGCATCAACGGTGGTCATTATGGTAAATATGAGACAAGGCCCCAGCTTACAATGTGGCTCATACAAATACTATGAGTAAAAGTTATCACCAGCACAGGCTAGAGAGAGGAATGGGTTATATGGGGGAAGAATTAGAGGTGGAAAAGCTCTTGGAAGAGCATGTATGAACTACATGGTGTAATCAACTGGGTTCTCATGGTGGTTCATATATATATAAAATGTGTTATAAAATCCTAAAATGGGACCAGATCATCTCCTCTCCTTCAGGGTCTGGAGGTTCTCTGAATGGATCCTGTCTGTGTATCTTGGTGTCCCATGCATCCCTTTCGAATCCACACAGATATCCGTGCTTCAGGTCATACTGTTAGGAGTCTTGACTTAGGCTCTGTGCCTATAACTCCCTGAGCGGTGGCGTTTATTCACAGGAACTGGGACATCTCTTGCAGGAGAGGGCAAAGGACCAGGTCATAAAGGTTGACTTTCCATGGGGCTGGGACCTCCCTGCTTATATGTGGAGGTGAAAGGCCAGACATTCCAAAACCTATCCAGCCTGATAGGGCCATTAGTTGGAAACACAGATGAACCTTCCATGTACCCCTCTTGTAGGTGTTTCTTTGGGGTGGTACAGGTTGGCCCATGCTAAGCAATGGAGAGTGCTGAAGTAGAGATCAGCAGCAAAATGCTAGCTGAAAAAATGTGAATTGCAAGAAGCTATTTGAAGGAGAAGTAATGGATAATATATGGATGTAATTACAAATACATATAGAACACATACAGCATCCCTATATCTAAATGTGATGGATTTTTTTTATTACCACCCAAGAAACAAATAATAGGTTGATAGTAACAGGAGTGTGCATCACATGGGAATTGAACATTTACATAGCTTCTTGTGCCATTTAGTGCATTAACGTGCATAGTTTGCCACAAGAATTCTGTGATTAAACTGTAAGTGTTGGGAATTTATCATACTGGAACAGAGGAGTTAGCAAAGACTAGGACTATTTTTGTCTGTCTTTTCTTCTCTTGATTGTGCTGCGATATATAGGAAAAATAATCATATGTATACATAGATACATGTGGTCATGGCCTGGGTTCAAGTTCCTGTCGCAGACAGGACCTTCTAAGTGATTGCAAATCACATTCCTTCATAACTCCTAGGAATAAGTTGATTGAAATTAAAACTGAATAAGCCTCGTTTCTGCAACCAGGAGATTGTCTGAAGGAATATTTCACACATCTGAAGATACTCAGATGCCACAGTGTGGTATGCAAGTATTGATAGAAACAAAGAGTCTGATTTTTCTAGTCTAAGTGTTTATTTTTTGCTAATTTGCAGCCACAGGACCAAGTCTTCAGGTTGGCCACATCCTTCAGGAACCTGGAGCTTGAACCAGGGCCCACCCTATGGATGGGAGATGACGACAAACAGAGATGGGAGAGACTACTTCATCAAGTAGGTTGAACAGATTTAGCACGAGTTTTTGTTAGATGGATAGAGGCTGCAGTTCAGTACTGTAACTCTAGTACTTAGCACTCTTTCTCTCTGCATCTTGAGTTGACATCAGCTTCACCATGTTAATGCTCAACTGTTCTGGTTTGTGCACAAAGAGATGGTCTTGACCAGTCTTTGTGTCCTGTCTTTCTTTCACTGTTGAATACTCTTTGGTATCTTCTGATATTGATAGAAACACAGATAACTTAAGGATCTGTTTTTCTTGGTATTTGATGTTCTGCTGAAGACAGTTTCCTAGAAGAGAACCTTACAGTGAAGAATCACAGTAAATATGATCCACAAAAATCCCTCCCAGGTTAAAAGAATGAGGCAAAAGATCAGTTTTGACTGGGATGAACAAATCTGCTCTCTCGGACATGTGATCCATTTTAGTTTGCCTGATATATTCATCATACTGGCAAAGAGAAAATAAGTTCTTTGATCCTATCTAGTTTGTAATCTAATTCTTAGATTTCCATTTGCTTGCACAGCTAAGATCCATGATCCTTTGCCTCTGGGTTTAAAGGATTGTAAGAGAAATTAAAAGGAATGATTAGATTGTCAACAAAGATTATGCTTGCTTTTCCTCCCCTTTAAAACTTTCCATAATTACTCTTTTGAACTGTCTGTGCCTTTGATTAAAATAGATTTTCCTGTCCAAGTAAGTGGAGCTCTGGTTTGGATTGTAGTTTGGAATATTTTTTTGCTAAGAACAAATGGAGCTGAAATATCAGAACCATCATTTGGTTTTACTCTATTTGTTGGTATTAGTTTAATTTACTTCTGCAAAGACCAGGCTAAGTGTTATTTAAGAAGCAGGATTTCAAAAGTGCTCAACACCTAGAACTGGTGGTCAGAATTTCTGAAGAGCTCAGCTCCTGTTAAGGCACCTAAATTAAGTGTCCAAAATTTCAAAAGGCCCTAGCACCCAGCAGCTCCCATGGTTCTAATTTTGTTAAATGTTCTTGATGGGAGCTCTGGGTGCTGAGCTCCTTTGAAAATCGGGGTGAGATCCTCATCCCCACTCCATGCTCTTCACATGGGGTGAAAGGGTTGGAATGTTATAAAGGAGACCTAAAAGCCATCAATCTAGTTAAAGGAGAGTTCTCCTAGCCTGTCTGCCTCACTTTTTGTGCTAAGAACTCCCTCATAGCCATAGGAAACATAATGGAGGCAGGCGTTTTGGATAGGGCCACAGCATGTAGATTCTGAGTAGGCCCTGGGCAACCAGGGACAGAAATTTAGACAGGCCTCAGAGTGTTTAAATTATACCAAGGGCTGTAAACCAGCCCAGGATTGAGATGGTATAGCCCACCCTCGCCCACAGCCACTCTCATCCCTGGATTTGAGAGTTTTTTTCCAATCCAAAACTTACTCATATCACATGACCTTACAGGCTGGGATGTGTGTGTCTGTACTTCAAGTATCTTATTGTGTAAACTATGTTTTAGTGCCTCCAGCTATTAGCCAACAGAGATGCTTTAGAAAGTCAATCGTTTCCTTTAATAATTACCTCCTTGATTTCTTATGCTTACACTCTGCTAGACTAAATTTGAAGTGCTGTGGTGTTTCCGTTTACAGGATTCTTTCTGAAATATTTTAGTCATTTAGTGTTTAACTATCAGCTTTACTGATTTTGACTACCCCGCAGTAACTAAAAATCCCAAAGACTATTTCCAACATGACTAGATCAGGTATATAATTTGGGAAGAATCTTTTAGAATTGTGCATTTTTGCTATTGTTACAAAGGACTAGTGAAGAATTTAGACAGGATCTTCCCAGAACTTTATTGCTGTCATTTGCTTTAACGGTAGTATCTAGCTAGTGAAGACAACCATTAAGCTTGAATCCTGCGTTCTCTCACTTCCAGAATGATACTAGTCAGACTGATAGTCTAATTCTCATGGATCAGTACAAAGCTGTACCTTACTATATTGAATGCATTAGCACTCATTAATTCTGTAAATTAATAGAGCATTTTCAAAGTTAATATCTGACTGGTAATTATCACCTCTGTCTGCAATTTGTTTGTTTTTCTGATTCCCTTTAATATGTTGAGGCTCCATGCTGTTTTACCGCCTTTCAAAATATTGTAGAAATTCTCTGATCAAAATTCCATAACAGTCAAAAGGGCCTTATGATGCCAAATTATACTGACCCTAGTGTTTAGTTTTTGTATTTAGTGTGTTTTAGTGCTCATAAAGATACTAAATTAACATTCTAGAGATGATAGCCCTCCATTCCCTTTGGGGCCATTATTCTATCTGCAATTGGCTATTTATTTATTTATTTGGATGTATACACACTGTAATTGAAGAGCACCCAACTGGTGTTCTGGATGCCCTTGACAGTTTTCTTTAAAAATGCTAACATAAGCAGTCCCATCAATTTCTTGCACATCAGCAACTGAAATTAGTTGTTTCCATGCAACCCCCAGCCCTTCCCAACACCCATTTCCTTGTAGCTCAGAGAAACAAGATGAACATTACCACATTTTTACAGAACTGGGAAAGAAGTTAGGGCTTGTCTGCACTTAAAATGCTACCTTGGTGCAGCAGTTGGCCACTGTAGTGCTTAAGTGGAGACACTACCTATGCCGATGGGAGGGTTTCTCCCAGTGACATAGGTATTCCACCTCACTGAGAGGTGGTAGCTAGGTTGATGGGAGAATTCTACCATTGACCTAGTGCTGTCTACTCCAGGGGTTAGGTCGGTTTATCTGCGTCCCTCAGGGGGCATGTCTACACTACAAACTTAAATCAACCTATGTTAGGTTGACTTCCAGCCACAGTTATTACTGTGGTGGCAGATGTCCACACTACCCTCCTTCTCACCAGGAGCACTTCCACTGACTGAAGAGGGGCAGTGTGGGGGCTGAGAGATAGGGGTCTCAGCTCTGCACAGTTCCTCCCCCCCGCTCCCAGGCTGTAGCAGGTACCTGATTAACCTCTTAATGTTTAAAATGCCCAAATACTTGGTTGATAAGTATAGCCATCTTGCTAACAGCTAAGCATGTTTTGACTTGGTCATTACTAAGATGGGAAAACTGTTTGAAAGAAATGTAAGGTGACTGAACTAATGGCACCATCTGGGGTTGGACATGAAGGATGGGCAGTCTGTTGCTGAACATTTGTACTTACATTTCAGTGGATAGTATATAGTATAAACAAGTGATTTTCTATATGAAATTTTAGTTTGTACTGACTTCACTTGTGCTTTTTATGTATCCTGTTGTTAAACTAGGCAAATATCTAGATGAGTTGATGTACCCTCTGAAAGACCTCTGTACCCCTGGGGTACATGTGCCCCTGGTTGAGAACCACTGCTTTACATGAGAATAATCACAGTACATCTGACTGTATGAGACATTTTGTAATGATGACTAAGGATAGCACTAGCTTTAAAAATGTACTCTGATCAGCATGCATCATCCCTCTGAAGCAGTAATGCATATTTCATTAAATCACTATCACTTGGGTGCATTAGAAACAGCTACTTTCGGAGAGCGAATACCTCAAGAATTTAGTTATGGGATTTGAAGCCATTTACTGCTGCACCGAGTCACCAGTTCAAATCTAGCAACGGTTGCTAGTGAATGATGGTCCTTACCATCTATGCACCATGTGGTGCTGGTACCTCAGGGTATATTTACACTGCAGCCCTAAGTCAGCCTATGTTAGGTCTTTTTATAGCCACCACAGTAATTACTACAGCGGATGATGTCCACACTACTCTTCTTCTGTTGGTGGTGCACGTCCTCACCAGGAGCACTTGCACTGGCTGAAGAGGGGCAGTGTGGGGTTCAGCTCCCTACCAGGAGCCCAGCTGCCTGCTTTCAGCTGGGAGTAGGGGAGGGCAGCCTCCAGGCTTCTTGACTCCCAGAGTGGGGAGCCTCCGGGCAGCAGCCTAACTGGGAGTGGGCTTTCTTGTCAATTTCATGGGTCAGACAGCCAACAGTCAATGTAAGTAACCCAGGGTCTACACCGACACTGCTTTGCCATAACTACACCGTCATAAGCTCTATGGCTCTCATGGAGGTGGAGTTATGTCAGTATAATAGGGCATTTACATCAGCAGGACAAGACTGTAGTGTACACACTGACATAATTAGGTTGACATAAGCTGCCTGACATGGACCTAACAGTGTAGACCAGGCCTCAGTGATGAATGTGATATAATGGATGGGAGGGCAGATAGATCTTAATGAGAGATCTCCACATCACAAAAACTGGCATGAATTTTAACCCTTGTTGGCCATCTCGGAAGAGGGAACCAAAGATAGATTTAGTAATTACCCACTTGCCCCCGGCTGTGGTCCCTTTCAGGCTTGAGTGAGGCACAGAGATGGGACATTGTGCTCTTACTGATACTATCTGTGTATCTGTTAGTTGTGTAAGTAGAAGGCTTCAGTGTCAATAGCCGTTAAACTGGCTCCTTTCACTAGCACTAAACTAACTTAAAAATGAAGCCAGTAATTTCCTCTCCTTCATTTTGACCTCTGCCTTCTAGGAACAGAAGAGCACAAGGAATGCTTTGCAAATTGACAGTTATGCCCATGGAAAAAGAAAAGAGATCAGCAAGATAGCACCTGTCATGGTGTCTTGGAGGTTAACAAATTATGACATTGGAGGAGATCTAGCAATTGAAATCCTTTTCTGGTTTTGATTAAAACTTCTCAAAGCAAGTAATATTGGTATACAAGGTGCACATGGGTTCTGCATAAGCAAATGAAATATTTCATCCAATGCAACATCAATTGCTTTTGAGTTGCATTATTTACTTTGTGTCATATGTGTAATATCCATTTAATAGTAGGACATATTTAAACACTGTAGTTATAAAGTAAGGGGGGGAGAATATCTGATAGCATCTCTATATGAAATGAAAGGTACTTATGTGGTGTCATTGCAAAGGCTTTCTGGCATGAGTACAAAGCAATGGTGCTGGAACCAGGGCACTC